TCGTGGCCGGCGGCGCCCGCGCACGTCAAGGCGCGCGCGCCCGACGCGCCGGGCCAGCGCATGCGCGTGCGCGCCTACAGCGCGCGCGTCTGCGACGACGGCGCGTCCTTCAACGTCACCGTGAAGATCTACCCCGGCGGCCCGCCGGCGACGCGGGGCACGTCCGCGTTCATGGGCGCGCTGCCGCCTGGGCCGAACTCAAATCTTCAACCCGACTTCAATGTGCGCGTATTCGACAGTTACTGGACGCGAGGCTTTCTGCTGTGCTTCGAGAACTCGACGAGAGCGATCGATTCGTCCAAAAATCAGCCGAATCGACTTCGATGTGACCGAGCTCGAGAGGTTTGGCTGGAATAACCCAAACCAGTGGTTGATTTCGGCGCAGGCTACCGCTCGGCGGCGCGCTCGACGTGCCCCAGGTGCGGTCCCTGCGCTGGGCGGTGCCCCTGGCGGAGCTCGGGAACGTGGGCATCATCGCCTTTGGCGTCGGCGTCGCCGAGGCCGTGGAGGCCGTCGAGGACGTGCTCGCGGCGAGCGCCGCGGTCGTCTGTTTGTTCGCCGCGTATCGCGACGGGTCGCAGATCCTCTACCGGGACCACTTCCGCGCCCTGCTGGCCGCGCACCCGGGGCGCCTGCGCATCCGCTACTACCTCTCGCGGGCGGCGGCGGACGCGGAGGACGTCTGCGTCGACGGCGAGGAGACGGTTCCGCGGCGCCTCGACGCGCGGATGCTCCGGTCGGAGATCGGGAGCTGGGACCCGGCGTCGTCGCGCTTCCTGGTCATCGGCACGGGGTCGATGGAGGGCGCCGCCTGGTCCTGGCTGGGCATCCTCGGCTTCGAGGGGAGGAGGCTCTTCGAGGGCCACTCGGGCTGGCGCAACTTCCGCGCGCCGGCGCCGAGGGAGCCGGCGCTTCCGGCCGCGCCGCGCCGCGCCGCGCCGGCACGACCGCGCCGCCCGGCGGCGACGGGAAGCATCTAAGGCACGTGGGTGGTGTGGTGTCGGCCTTGGTAGGCCTCTCGGTGTATGCTCGCGACCACGTCGTGGGCGGGGCGACAGGGGGGACCATCGCCGCGCGACGCGAAGGCAATCAAAATCGAGCAGCTCCCTCATCACACAGCTCGCTGAGGTGCTGCACCGGCGTCGTCGTCGTTGCGTCGACGCGCGCCGCGAGACGCGTTGCCCGCGCCGCGGCGACCGCAGCGCTCGCCGCGCAGTCGCGGCGCGCCGCGCGCGGCCGCCCGGCATGGCGCCGCCGGCCGCCCAGCCGAGCCTCGACGAGGTCTGCTCCAAGCTCGGCGCCAAGAGCCGCGCGATCAAGGACGTCTGCGACTGGGCCGAGGCGCGTCGCCCCCGCGTCCCCCGTGTTCTTTGCGCGCGTGCGCGCGCCGCGGCCGCGCGCGCCGCGCGCGCGCGCCGCGGCCGTCACCGGTCGTTCGCCCCGCAGGCCCGATGCGGCGCCGTCGACGGCGGCCGCGCGGGCGGCGAGCTGCTCGCGGCGCTCTTCCGGACCATCAAGCACGACGAGGCCGGCGGCGAGCGCGCGGAGAACGTGCGCGAGGCCGTCATGTTCGCGCTCCACGAGGTGCTCATGAAGAACGACGCCGTCTGCGCGAAGGTCGCGGACCTGCGCGACCAGGTCGAGACGCTCACGGACCGCTGCACGGAGCACTTCACGCGCCACATCGTCAAGTCGCAGGCGAGCCGCGTCATCGAGCGGCGCCTCGTGAAGTCCGCGGAGAACCTCACGAAGGTCGTCCGCGCGTGGCGGCAAAAGTTCGAGTGCTTCGGGTCCTCCGACAAGCTCCGCATGACGCACAAGATCCTGCGCCAGCTCGGCAAGGAGGCGGACAAGCTCGAGGGCGAGCGGACGCGGCCGGAGAAGCGGAAGGCCGACGAGGCGAAGGCGCCCGAGCCGAAAAAGCCCAAGGCGGAGTCGCCCGCGGCGCCGCTCATCCCCGTGCCCAAGGACCTGCTGGCGCGCGAGGCGGCCGGCGACGGCCCGCCCGCCGCCGCGCCGGCCCTGACGCCCGCGTCCATCGCCGCGCCGCCGCCGGAGGCGGCGAAGCCGCGCGCGGCGTGGGGCGGCGGCGCGTCCACGGCGCCGGCCGTCGGGCCGGGCCGGGGCCGGCGCTTCGACGCCTGCCGCCTCGTGGGCGACTGCTGCACCTGGCTCCGCCACCCGCGGCACACGGTGGCCGTCGCCTTCTTCTTCCTGCACCACTTCCTGAAAGCCGCGCGGCTCGAGCCGCGCGGCTCCGCGCCGCCGGCCGCGGCCGCCGCGCTCGACGCCGTCGAACGGGCCAAGGCGGCCAAGCCGGACATGAACGAGCCCGGCGAGGTCGAGGTCTACGTGGCGCACCTCGCCGACGACGAGGCCGCGGCCGTCGCGATGGCGGCCGTGCACCTCGCGGGCAAGGCGACGGACGCGCCGA